CCACCCAGATAGATTGATGCACCAAGTCACTTTTTGGCCAAGCAGCCAACAGAGATATTAAGGAGTGGAGCCTGCTCTTTGGGAACTGGCCCATGATAATTCAGAATTGCCTTTCTAAATTTTATTTCCAGAAATGCTCTGGCAAGTGCAGCAAAACTGTTCTACCCCCATTATGAATAATTACTATGTACCTCTAGTGAACAAGTGTAGATATAAGGAACACAGAGTAGCTGAAAACATATCATTACACTGTTGCTATTCAGTACAGCAGACAGCCAAGAGGTTCCCATGCCATCCATGAATGCCTTGCCCTTGGCTTTGCACAAAAACCTGTGGGGCATGCACAGCCAAATGTATTGGCTGTGGGGGACAGAACAGAGGATCATGGAAGTGAATCAAAAGGGACTTTGAAAGTTACACCCTGTCTTCTGCCAATGCAGGAAATCTGATAGGTTGCCATCCAGCCTCTGCTTAAAATTGTCTAACACAAGAACATCTACTATCTTCAAAGAAAGCCTGTTCCACTTCTGAACCGCCTGTGCCATCAGGAGGATTTTCCTAACATTTAAGTGCAATCTCTTTAACGTGATTTCAATCTACTGATTCAGGTCCTACTTTCTTGAGCATCAGAAAACCAATATGTTTCATCATTTATCTGACTGTCCTTCAAATATTTCAAGACCACTATCTTATCAATGTCTTGTCATGGCGAAGGGGCTTGCATAGCTCAATGAAGCTATGAGCTATGCCATGCAGGGGCACCCAAGATAGAAGGTCACAGCAGAGAGCTCTGACAAAAGGTGATCCACTGGAGAAGGAAATGGCAACCCATTCCAGTATCTTTGCCATGAAAATCCCATGGACAGCACCAAAAGGAAAAAAGATATGACACCGGAAGATGAGCCCCTCAGGTCGGAAGGTGTCAAATGTGCTACTGGGGAAGAGCAGAGGACTTGTACTAGTAGCGCCAGAAAGAATGAAGCAACCGGGTCAAAGCCGAAAGGACACTCAGTTGCAGATGTATCTGATGGAGAAAGGAGAGTCCGATGCTGTAAAGATCAATATTCCATAGGAACCTGGACTATAAGATCCATGAATCAAGGCAAGCTGGACGTGGTAAAACAAGAGATGACAAGACTGAACATCGACAGCTTAGGAATCAGTGAACTAAAATGGACAGGAATGGGTGAATTTAATTCAGATGACCATCAGGTATATTACTGTGGACAAGAATCCCTCAGAAGAAATGGAGTAGGCTTAACATCCAATAAAAGAGTAGGAAAAGCAGAACTGGGATACAATCTCCAAAATGACAGAATGATCTCGGTTTAAATCCAAGGCAAACCATTCAACATCACAGTAGTCCAAGTTTATGCCCCAACCACTGATGCTGAAGAGGCTGAAGTTGATCGGTTCTATGAAGGCCTACAACACCTTCTAGAATTAACACCAAAAAATTATGTCCTTATCATCATGGGGGATTGGAATGCTAAAGTAGGAAGCCAAAAGATAACCGGAATAGCAGGCAAGTTTGGCCTTGGAGTACAAAATGAAGCAGGGCACAGGCTGGTAGAATTTTGTCAAGAGAATACAGTGGTCATAGCAAACACTCTTTTCCAACAACCCAAGAGATGTCTCTACACATGGACATCACCAGACGGTCAACACAGAAATCAGATGGACTATGTGCTCTGCAGCCAAAGATGGAAAAGCTCTATGCAGTCAGTAAAAACTAGACCTGGAGCTGACTGTGGCTCAGATCATGAGCTTCTTGTTGCAAAATTTAGGCTTAAATTGAAGAAAGTAGGGAAAAGCACTAGGCCACTCAGGTATGACCTAAATCATATCCCTGATGAATATACAGTAGAGGAGACAAATAGATTTAAGGAATTAGATCTGATAGACAGAATGCCTGAAGAACTATGGACGGAGGTTTGCAACATTGTACAAGAGGTAGCACCTAAAACCATCCCAAAGAAAAAGAAATGCAAGAAGGCAAAATGGCTGTCTGAGGAAGCTTTACAAATAGCTGAGGAAAGAAGGAAAGCGAAAGGCAAAGGAGAAAGAGAAAGATACACCCAATTGAATGCAGAATTCCAGAGAATAGCTAGTAGAGATAAGAATGCCTTCTTAAAGAACAGTGCACAGAAATAGAAGAAAACAATAGAATAGGGAGGACCAGAGATCTCTTCAAGAAAAGTGGACATATGAAGGGAACATTTCATGCAACCACGATGAGGTGGTCACTGACCTCGAGCCAGACATCCTGGAATGTGAAGTCAAATGGGCCTTAGGAAGTCTGAGCAACAACAAAACTAGTGGAGGTGACAGTATTCCAGCTGAGCTATTCAAAATCCAAAAAGACAACGCAGTTAAAGTGCTACACTCAATATGCCAGCAAATTTGGAAAACTCAACAGTGGCCACAGGATTGGAAAAGGTCAGTTTACATTCTGATCCCAAAGAAGGGCAATGCCAAAGAATGTTCAAACTACCGCACCATTGCACTCATTTCACATGCCAGCAAAGTTATGCTCAAAATCCTACAAGCTAGGCTCCAGCAGTATGTGGACTGAGAACTACCTGAAGTACAGGCAGGATTTCGAAGAGGCAGAGGAACTAGAGATCAAATTGCCAACATACGCTGGATCATGGAGAAAGCTAGGGAGGTCCAGAAAAACATCTACTTCTGCTTCATTGACTATATTAAAGCCTTTGATTGTGTGGATCACAACAAATTGTGACAAGTTCTTAAAGAGATGGGAGTACCAGACCATCTTATTTGTCTCTTGAGAAACCTGTGTGCAGGTCAAGAAGCAACAGTGAGAACTGGACATGGAACCACCGATTGGCTCAAAATTGAGAAAGGAGTATGGCAAGGCTGTATACTGTCACCCTGTCTATTTAACTTATATGCAGAGCACATTATGAGAAAGGCAGGCCTAGATGAATCACCAGTTGGAATTAAGATTGCCTGGAGAAATATCAACAACCTCAGATATGCAGATGATAGCACTCTAATGGCAGAAAGTGAAGAGGAACTAAAGAGCCTCTTGATGTGGGTGAAGGAGGAGAGTGCAAAAATTGGCTTGAAACTCAATATTAAGAAAACTAAGATCATGGCATCTGATCCTATCACCTCCTGGCAAATAGATGGGGAAGAAATGGAGGTAGTGACAGATTTTATTTTTTTGGGCTCCAAGATCACCGCAGACGGGCACTGCAGCCAAGAAATTAAAAGACACTTGCTCCTTGGGAGGAAAGCAATGGCAAATCTAGACAGCATACTAAAAAGCAGAGATATCACCCTGCCAACAAAAGTGCATATAGTCAAGGCTATGGTTTTCCCAGTTGCAATGTATGGCTGTAAAAGCTGGACCATAAGGAAGGCTGAGTGCTGAAGAATTGAGGCCTTTGAATTGTGGGGCTGGAGAAGACTCCTGCAAGTCCCTTGGACTGCAAGGCGATCAATCCAGTCAGTCCTAGAGGAGATCAACCCTGACTGCTCTTTAGAAGGCCAGATACTGAAGATGAAACTCAAATACTTTGGCCACCTAATGAGAAGGAAGGACTCACTGGAGGAGAGCCTAATGCTGGGAACAATAGATGGAAAAGAAGAAGAGGACGGCAGAGAATGAGGTGGCTAGACCAGTTCACTGAAGCAGTCGGCGTGAGCTTAAGTGGACTCTGGGAGATGGTGGAGGACAGGAAGGCATGGAGGAATGTTGTGCATGGGGTCGCGATGGGTCGGACATGACTTCGCTTCTAACAACAACAACAAAAGTGTTGAGAAGAAAAAATCCCTACCAAATGTATATCATGTGATATGCTATTGATATTGCTACCATTCTGAATTGATTTTTGGACTACTCATCCTGGCATCTTTAATTAGACCTGAATGTATAGTTGCTTTCATTATATGGACTGAAACACACTCAGACATTATACATTGCTTTACATTGTTATGTTTTCTGCCTGATGAGCTATTCATATGTAACAGCTCATGTGAGTCAGGTGATTTGATCCACCCTAACGCAGAAATCAAAATAGCTTCTGAAATGGCCCAGTGTGATCTGTTTTGGGAGCTGTTGCACACAAATATGACTGGATCTGTTTTCAGCGGCAGCCATATCACATTGATCAGTTCTTCGGAACTGTATCAGATCTGTACAAGTCGTATTGCAAGCTTCCTCAGTGGGTTCTACACAAGTGCAAGATGAGAATTGGTGCTTAAATGGTAGGTTAAACTTCAGAAGCTCTAGCACTCCTTACTTGGAATATTTCTGAAGAGAAAAGCCCCATCAGTATTTGTATATTTCAAATAATTCATAATTTTATAAATCTTCATTGCATGTCCTAAGTGACATATTGCTTTTCTGTGGTAACAATAGCTGTCCCTGTTCTAATTTACTTGTAATTCGGACATTTTCAAGTTCAAGTATATCTTTGCCTTATAAACAGACCCGTGTGGGGATAGGTATGCCACTTTGTTGTCAAGGAGTATATTTCTGTTTTTTCTTTACTTTCCATTCCTCATTATTGCTAGTATTTGCTTTCAGCTTTATATAGTGGCACTGTATTTCAGTTCTGATTTTTTTACAAGGACCTATCTACAATGCTGGCTGGCTGGCTGGCTGGCTGGCTGTCTTTCTCTCTCTCTCATTCCCTGCCTGCCTGCCTGCCTGCCTGCCTGCCTGCCTTCCTAATGCTTACTTACTGCATAATAAAATATTTAAGCAGCTCAATTATTCTAGGATCTCTTTAGTTATGGCAGTAAGTTACTGTGATATGCATTGTAATTCTTACATATGCAGGTAGAATAAGAATTACAATGCACATCACATCAGAAAATTTCATTCAGTTATTTCAGTAAATAACTATACTGACTTCTGCATCTGGATGTATATAGTATATGTGTGTTTTACATGGGAATGTTTCTGTGTTTTGCATTCTAATGAGAACTCTAAATCTGATAATATATCATTATGATTCTAAAACAAGCTTTTGTTTTTATATTCAATATTAACTGAAGGAAAGTAGAGTGTTACGGACAGTCCCACTTCTGGCGGCTTGTCTACCCGAAGACAAATGTAAAGTCTTGATTGGTCGGCGTTTCAGTGAAGACAAGTAAGAACTGTTGATAATTTTCTATTATGAATACTTTTTTCCTAATCCATAATACTTTCTATTACTTGTTATATGTTTAATAGTGCACACATTCATAATAAAATGTCTAAACAGTAAGAAAGTTTGGACACATGTCTTGGTGCTCATGCATTCTTCCTCTCCCTCTCTCTTTCACACACACACACACACACACACAGAGCAGGGGTGGCCAAACCAAGCCTTGGGAACCTCACATTGCTCTTTGAGTTTATTTTGTGGTTTACCACAAAGTGCCCACTTGCCACTGCCTGCAGGCACCACTTGCTGCCTGTGGGCTCTCCCCATGGGCACCCACTTGCAGCTCTCAAACATCTGACAGTTACTATAGGGGGCTCTTCCGATGAGTATGTCTGATCACCCTTGATATATTGTGTCTCTCAGTCAACTCATGGTGCTTAATCTAAACTTGGATTTCTTTTCCACTTTCTGTGCTTCTATCTAGCATACATCTTAACACTGACTTTCTTTCAGTTCAATGTTAATTGAAAACTTGTACTTCCTATATTTTGTATTACAATCTCCTTTTTAAACTCTGTCTTATAGCCTGAAAATCCTTTGTGTGCTAACCAAGATGCTTCTCTTTTCTTTCTAGTATTTAGTAAACAGTTGGTGCTTTAAAAAGGGATCCAGGAATGATCTGGGAAGTTACAGGCCAGTTAGCTTAACATCTGTTCTGAGTAAATTGCTTGAAAACATTAAAGACAGAATCAGTATGCACAGAGAGGGACAAGCCCTGCTGAAAAAAATCAGCATGGCTTCTGCAAGGGAAAGTCTTGTCTCAGTAACCTATGGGAATTCTACGGGAGTGTCAGTAAGTGTGTAGACAGGAGCAATGAGGTAGACATTGTTTACTTGAACTTCAAAAGGCCTTTGGCCAAATCCCTCACCAAATGCTCCAGAGCAGACTAAAAAGCCAGAATAAGGGGGTGGGGGGATCACTAACTAGTTAAAGTACAGAAGACAGAAATAAATGGTAATTTCTTCCAGTGGAGATATGTCACCAGTGGAGTCCCACAGGGTTCTATATTGGGACCAATGCTTTTCAACCCATTCATAAATGCATTGTTGAAACCTGAGGATGTGGACAAGGGGCTTGGACAAGTTCATCTGGTCACGCACATACTCGACCCTTGCCCATCCTGGATGATCACCAAAGCCAAGGAAGTGATGCAGTCCTGGGTCCTGGAGGTCATCAACCCCTCTTTGAGGGAGGGTCTCGTTCCCTCTCTTTGAAGGAGGGGGTGAACAAGCCTCTTTTGAAGAAGGTGAGCCTGGAGCCAGAGAATGTCACAAATTATAGACTAGTGGCTAAGATCCCTTATTTGGACAAGGTGCTAAAGTGGGTAGTGGCCGGACAACTCTTGATGATCATATAAGCTGATTCTGAACCTCCTTCCTTTTCTTGGTCCTCTTAATAAAGCTATGCTCAGACCCATCTTCCCTTTGTGCAGCTCCCCTTCTCTTTCTTGCTCATATTCTATTTAGTGAAGTTCCTGCTCAGGTTAACCTCCTTCCATACAGCTTGTCACACTTCCTAGTTGTTCCCTATTAAAAGAATTACCACCTGGGGGCACTCTGCCAATCCGAGTCATAAGCAATGAATGCTTAGGAATTAGGTGTGTGCAGACATGTTGGAAATAATAAATACAATACCAAGGAGAAGAGGAAAGAAGATGAAGTGTTCTTAGAAGTACAGAGAAATGAAATAAAACACACCTCAGCCCTCAGGGGTACTAAAGCAGCATGAAATGCACCTAGGGATCAGGTTTTAGCTTTCATAGCTGTCTGCTCTTGCTCAGTGTAATCTCCTGGCAAATCTGTTCAAAGAAATGTTATTAAATTCATTACACAGAAAAAGATAGCATTTTATCTATTTACTGCCATTTTAATTTCATATATGCCATAAATAAAGCCATATCCTGTAATATAAGATTTGATTTAATAATCATTGTGTATTTTTGACCAAGTGAGGCTTGTTTCATAATTCATCAGGAAACCTTAAAGCTCAAATTCTGGGATATCGCCACTTTTAAAAGTTATACAAAGTTTTTTTTCAAACGTTTCTTTAATAATAAATAGTATTTCAGTTGAACAATATAAGACCTTAATAAATATTCTAAAACAAATATTACCAGAAAATTTGGAAGAAAATAACCCAATTTGCTAGCCGTTAGCAATCTTTATTTTAGTGTGTGAAATGCTTTGTTCATTTTTCTTCACTGTTCTGCACAATAATTAAGAAAATTCCACAAGTTTTAGTGGTCTTTTATATTGGGTTATTTTGTGTGTTTCCCTCCTTTGTTTTATGCCATTTCTATTTATTTAATTATGTCATTGTTACATGATCAAATAGCTTATATTTTCTGGGTGGTTACCAACAGTCATAAAAATCATCCAATAAAATGCCATAAAATCTTAAAAATACAATAATTTGAACCCAAAAAATTAAGAACCTAAGCTGAAAGCATATGTTGAAGAATACTCCTGTGAAAAACAACTTGAGATGAGTGATCCACTCAAGTCTTTGTGTATTCCAACATAACTTTAAATACTTCAAGGTATTGTCCTAAGCCATCTAAGCTTTATAGGTTAAAACCAGCACTTTGAATAGGAGTCAGAAGCATAGATGTAGTAATTGTAGGTGGGCAAGAACTGGACATCTATATTGCACCTACAGGTCCCAAATCTTAAACTGGCTGCCATATTCTGCTAAGTCTCACCTTCAGAATGCTCTTCCAGGACAGACTTATATCAGGTGCATCACAGTAATCTAATTCAGAGATTACCACTGCGTACTTGTCCAGAAAGGAGTTGGACCACAAGCCACAGCTGGTAGAAGGCATTCTGTGCAACTGAGGCCACAAAGATGGATAATGGGGAACCCTCAAGGTTAGAGACATTTCTGACAATTGGGAGAGGCTGTTTTTCATTTATATAGAAAATAAAGAAGACCTCAAGCATTTAGAAAAATAAGACATTTTTAATAATTCTTAGCATCTGAGTTGTAAGAAGTATTCAATGTGAGACTAAGGCTGTGATCCCAATTACATTTAGTTGAGAGTAAGACCCATTGAAGATGATTGGATTTACGTAGTTGTTATAAGTTTATTCTATAAGGTGCATCCAGTGAAATAAACTTTTTAACCTGGGAATGAGTTGATAACTTGGTCTGCCTTATCCAACACTGTTAGACTATGTTTGATTTTGGCATCTTAAAATAAGTATGGGATTTATTGTCTACTTCCAACTTGAGAGAGGTGCACAGAACAGGAGGAGTTATCACTTTTCCTATTAAACTGATTCCAATGGAGAAAGACTTTTATTAATGTAATTCTAAGTTTGGCTGATAAGAGAACATGTGGGGGAGATTAATCATCTGGGAAGAACATGGGGGCAATAAAAAGTGCTCTTAAAAAGATAAGTAGAAAGTTGCTTGTGTACTTTGTGACAAGGTCTGCACTTAAAAATTAATAAAGAATTCCTAGTCTTGGAATCAATATCAAAATGCCATTCTGGAGATAATATTCAAGTGCATGCTAGGCAAACCAGTTGGCTCCTTTCATTATTCCCAAAAATGTCCTATTGAAAAAAAAAGGGGGGGTTTCACAATTGTTGAATGCTGCTCAATCGGAAATCCATGCAGTTTCCCCCTACTGTCTGAGATAAGGTAGTGCTGATTGAGGGCAAAGCAACCCACGTGTGAATTTTCTCCCCAGGGAAGTTCACCTGATTCTATTTCAACATCAGGATTAGACCTTTTTTAGTTTCTAGGCTATTTAATATGATGATATAATTGCTTGCTGATTTGTTATGTACATATTGTATGCCAGTGTATATGTGAACTGCCATGAAAAATACTTATTGAATAGCAGTATGCAAATTCATTGAAAAAAGAATGAAGGCCTCTGAATACTCACAGGAGAACTTCCCCTTTGGTTTGCTTTCTTGCTTTGACCAAGGAGTGCGTACCTCCCTTTGCTGCTGAAACAACTGGGCTCTGAGAATAACCAATTTCCCTTTTCAGGTCCTTTTCTCAGAGAAGGGGTAACCTTGTTCCTCCCAGCTATTGAAAGGATTTTTGACCATTGAAAGGTCCAGGAACTGAATTCCAAAGATACATGTTCAATGACAATTTCCTTTTCATTTGGCATCCTTCAGATAATGAGTAGGAAACTGTATTTTGCCCCTGAAATTATTTTTCAGTGGAGTAAATTGTACCCTTTGAACATGAGGAAGAAAGCATGTGTGCTCTCCCCTCATCTCCTGCCTTCAGTGTTCAACCTATTGCTTGTCCGTTCTTCCTAACTAAGAATTTTGTCTTCAGATTTTAACTAAATGCTAGTGTAGTCTAGTGGTTAAGAGTGTGGGACTGGGACACAGGCGATCTGGCTTTTAGTCCCAACTCAGCCATGGAACGCAGTGGGTGCCTTTGGGCCAGTCACAGACTCTTAGCCCCAGCCACCTCACAGAGTTGTTGTTGTGGGGACAAGATGATGTAAGCTGCTTTGAGTTCTTTAACAAAGGAAAAAGCAGGACAAAATTCAAATGAATAAATAAAAGCTCAAAAACACCAGACCGCTGAATGGGGACTTGTACATTTAAGAAAAATGATTTAGAACAACCTTACTAGCTTGGTTAAATTTCCCTTAGCAAGAAAAGAATGTGCATTTTCCTGGTGAGGATTAAGAAGACAGAAAAATAAAGCCAGTGATGTAGCCCATGTATATACCCACTCCATGCAGAAAATACTTCTTTGCTGCTGCTTCTTCTTCTTTCAATAACAGATAAGGATTGTGAAAGAACACAAAATCAGCTTCTGCTTATTTTTAGCAATGCTAAATCTTTGGAGGATTGAAAATGCTGAATGGGATTCTCCTAACCGGAGGGGGAACTTTCATTTTGCCCTCTGCCTGCACTGAGGCAGCTCCCAGTCTTTTTATCAGCCTCTTTGAAGCAGCCAAGGTTCTGAGAAAAAATAATTTTCTTATGAAGAATCCACAAGACAGCCAGTGTGATGGTGAGACCATTGCACTGGGATTCCGGACATCCAGGTGCAAGACCTCACTTGGCCATGAAGCTCCCATTGTGGCTTTGGGGCAGCCACTCACTCTTGTGACCTGCCTCACAAGGGAGGGAATTCTCATGTGAAAGGACCTTCCCAAGGGTGGGCTTTATAGCCTATTCAGCTGGAAGAGGGAGGGCTGTGATTCTCCAGACTAATTTTGTGCCAACTTTTGTTTATGATACCTTAAACCCCCTTCCCTGCAAAACAAAAAATGAAAACAAAACCCTTAATAAACTAACATTAAGTGATGCCAGCTCTGCTCTTTAGTCTGCTTTGTTTTTATAGGGGTTTTGGTCTGTAGCCTAGGGCCATACTTGCTTGTCTATAGCTTGTACATAACAAAGGGTAACTGATTAAAACTACAATAACTAGCCTTTCTAGCAAAGTAGAGGAAGCAGCCTGCAACACTAGTTGCAGCACTGCAAAATCTGGACACCAAAACTGCCACCCCTGTTATAGGGTCATAGTAAGGAAACAAAAGCAGCAGCATATGTGGGTTACTTACAGGCAATCATTAATTACCATCTGTCACAATGTAAGGTACAGTTCGCATATCTGAACAGTTGAATTCTTCCAGGGCACGTTCTCTTACCTCCCAAAGACAGAGTCAATCTAAGAACTTCTCAGTATTATTGCTCATGTGGCCATGTAGGTGCTCTTTAATTACCTTTGTCTGATGTTCACTTGTTTACACTTTCTCTCTGCCAAGGGCTTGGTGCACTCACTTGCATTTGTGTATTTTCCAGAGGGATAGACTTGATAGTATACAGCATGGGTCCTCAAATTACGGCCTGTGGGCTGGGTCCGGCCCGCCATGCCCATTTATCCGGCCCACCATAGCTCACCACATGTGCACGCGTGGCAAGGTGCCAGCTTGCTCTCAAAGAGATCGTTTTGGACTCGCTCAGAGAAAAGGATCTCCCTGTGAGCAAGCCAGCGCCTTGCTGTGTACATGCCCACCAGTGGTTTGCTCCCAAGGAGATCCTTTTCTCCGAGTAAGTTCAAAAGTATCTTGCAAGGAGATCGTTTTTTACTCTCTAGGAGAAAACGATCTCTATGTTCGCACGCATGCCCACCCCCCGCCCCAGCCCACACCCTCCGCCTGCTCGCCCACACCTCCTTCGTGGCCCATGCCCATCACCGGCACCTTTCAACTGGCCCCCAGTTCAAAAAGTTTGAGGACCCCTGGTCTACAGGATCTGAAGCAACAAAGGCTTTTGCAACGCTCTAACAGTTAAAAAAATATTGTTGTATAAACTTTGTGGCCTAGATGTATGATGTTTATCCTTGGCTGGCAGGCATATGCATACACATATGTAGAGGGAAAAAGAGTCAAGAGGGAGGTCAGAAAACAAAATGCAAAAAGTACATTAACATTTAAATATATGCAAAATACATAGAGTGACTATTCACAGAGCAGTGTTAATTAAACTTGGATACCTGGCACTGATATGAATTAACAGTTGTTATCCAGTTTTCCTGAGATTTAAGAGCTGCACATAGTCCTGTGGTTGAGGTGCACATTGCACAATGTTCCTTTTTCAACATCTGTCCAAAATCTTCAACACATGATTCTTGCTATGGACAGTTCTCTGTAATATGTATCATCCTTGAGGAATAGTAGAAAGTGCTGAAGACTGTGGGTAACTAATTCCATTTAGCTGAATGATGAACAGAAGTGAAGTTCTAAACACATATTGATAACGACATTATCAGGACTTTATTATTAAAAGAGAGGAATATCTTGAATTGAAATGAGGGGTAGGTGAGTAGAAAAAGTTGAGCAAGGCATGTATCATTACTTATCAGACAAACAAACACCTAAAATCTTCCCTCCTGCAATTTTTAGGTACCCTGACTTAGCATCTGTGTGCAGAAATTCAAATACCTTAATATTATATCCTGGAGCTGGAGCAGCAAATTTGGAAGAAGAAGATCTGAACTCCTCTGATCCCTATGTGATCATCATCATTGATGGAACATGGAGCCAGGCTAAAGATATATTTTTTAAGAACTCCCTTTTTCGAATACCTAAACAGGTAAGGTTTAATATTCTGTAGTTTAAAATCATATGTATCACTGACTTCTCAATTTTGACTTGTGGACACTTAGGGTAACATAATCATTCGCACATTATTTTATTATATGTGTCATAACCATTCTTCTCCCCCTCCTTCCAAGCAGGCCAGGACAAAGGCTTTCTCATTCAAAAGGCTTTATTATATTAAAGCTGACCAGCTTTTTTCATACAAAAGAAAAGAATTGCAGAAGTTAATAACAAAGACACAAACCAAGCTATAGTATTGGGCACTAGGGAAATATAGCTTAATGATAAGAAGTTGTTTCCAAGCCGAATATTCTGCCTTCCTTCCAAAACTGAAAGGTTCCGCTCAACATGGGATTCCCCTGCTTCAAGGCCAATCTCTTGGAGTATTTGAAGCTTTTCAACTGGTCAGCTCTCTTAACCTGATGCAGCTTCTTCAAGTTAATTTTATTAGGACTGCCTCTCCTGCATCAGTTCACAAACTAAACTTCCCCAGAATATTTGAAACTGTCTGATTCTCAGCAACTGCCTGGCTTATCACTGGTACTGTTGCCCTTGGAAATTCAGCTGCAGATTCTGACCTCACTTCTTCATCTGATTTAGGAATTGATTCCACAAACTTTGGAAGGCTCTTTTGTAGGAATAGTAGACTCATCCCTAAATCAAGGCATAAATTTACAAATTTACATAAACCTATGTAAATTTAGACAGAAAAACTTTAACAACTCCCAGCATTTCCCAGTCAGCATGGGTTACAACTTTTTCTGTTTAAACCTAAATAGGATTGTGCCCTTGATGTAGAAAAGGTAATTCCAAGCTCTTCCCTCACATACAGTTTTCCACACGTGATCCCGTAATTTTTATTTAACTGATTGGGTTAAAACCAAACTCTTCATTACTTCTAAGAAACCTTGTAGGAATTTGGGTGGATATTTACAGGATACAGAGTGATAAATGTTCATCTAGGAGAAAAAGTACTTGGGCATAGCACTTTTCCTTCCAAGAAGAAGTGCATTACTAAAGGGTGATTTCATAAGAATTTTTATGTTGTGTTGCCTTTGGTTCTGGAAGAATTGAGCTGCAATTCTTTTGTAGTAACTGATTTTCTGTTGAAAGTGTGCCTAATACCCTTGTTGGCACAGAGCATACTGAAATGCACAACTGCATACCATGGGGCATTTATGCAACTCCAACTCCTCAGATAGACTGTCTAGTTACCTACAGAATGCACTTTTGTGAAAGAAGGGGTAATTTAGTATGTTCCTCTGTTCAGGGTTCTTATCATGCATGATGAACTTCTAGCAAGTGCCTCCGTGTATAAATTAACAAAATATGTAGGTACTACATGTGAACAACCCTATATTCATAGGCCTTAATCATATAATATTTCTGTGTTATATTATGTAAATCAGTATTTGCTTGCTTGCTTGTACTCCCTTCTCTGTCTATTGCTTGTGTTCTCTCTCTCTCTCTCTCTCTGTGTGAGTGTGTGTCTGAGAATGTGCATGGCTGAATTAACACTGATGCTATTGGTGTTTTTTAGGGGCAATTTTCAGTTTTTTACATTTCTATATCAATGCAATTAATTCAGCTTGTAGTAACACGGGTATTGTGTTGAATTAGGAAAAAATGGCCTGTAATTTTTTTAACATGGTAATTGGTGGTGTGTTATCTTTTGTGCTTGTGGCCACAGTATGTGAAAGCTTGTACTTTCCCTATGCACACTGTTTCCTGGAGAGACCACACAACTTGTCCTTTTGTAAATAAATTGTCATAATTGCTATGTAGACAATGAATCCTACTGTGATTATTCCCATACTGTCCAATAGCCAAAGCTCTCTGGGTGGCAACTTAGGACATGATCCTGTGCATGTCTAGACATGCATTAGGAAATCCTGGGAGTTGTAGGAATTTTACCTGTCTAAACATGCACAGGATTACAGCCTTAATCTCTTTCACGTAGAGGATTTATTGGATGATATTATGTAAAAGCAAAGATTTTGACATTTTTAATGATGGTATATCAGAGTGCATATTCTTTGAAGTACTTTTTACTTTCATCCACTAGGTGCTAGATAGATTGACTAAACATTATGAAACCTTAAATTCCATTATGTTTATAAAAATTAATACATGTCAAAAATTCAGATGAAGAATTTCCATTGCTTTAAAGACTATGAACTAGATTCACTTCACTGTCACTGAATCTTGGATGAAGAATTTTATTGGATTATTTTAATAATGATCAAGCAGTTAATCAGAAAGCACAAGCTATATGTGTGACTCCTAGACAGTTCAGAACTGAGATTTCCCTGCTCTGCTCTCCACCTCCCAACAGCACCTTAGAGCAGGAGGTGGGGAATGAACTGATCTGGGAGATGGCAGTAAGTGCAGAATAATAGATCCTACTGGGAATGAGTTTCTAAGTATCATGAAATGGGTTATAATCTTTATTTACCTTCTAACAGTTAGATTGGGGAGAAAGACCTGCCTCATGTTGTCTTTTCCAAAAGATACCTTTGATTAGACCAGTGAAGTAAGGAAAACTAGCAGTTCCTCCCCAGCACTGAATGCTGCAGCTTCTTCAAGAATGATTGGGAAAAGGTCTGCTGAAGTCAAATAGCTTGTAACTTACTAGACAATAGAGAGTCAATGAGGTGTAGTGGTTTAGAGCATGAGACTGACTTTGGGCCAGTCGCCAACTCTCAAACCAACTTACCTCACAGGGTTGTTGTGGTGATAAGATTGAGAGGAAAATGAAGTAACCTGGTTTGAGTCCATTGTAACGAAAGAGCGGGGTATAAATCTAATAAATAAATAAAATAGATCTTGCAAGCTTGATAGAAATTCTGAATTCAGCTTGTAACCCTTTCTAGTCAGGTTGGATTCAAGGATCCTAACTCAGGCCATCATAGGAAAATGGGAAGCTGTTGTATTTATTTGTAAACTGCTTACAGAGTCCTTTGGACTAATTAATGTGGAATATAAGTTGAATGAATGAATGAATGAATGAATGAACGAATAAAATCACCATATCAAGCTATTGGTTTGTCTACATGACCCTTTCTCAACCTGGTGCTTTGCAGGATAGATAGACAGATAGATAGATATTTACTAGCACTTCAGCAACCACAGCCGTGAATAATGCTCAGGAATATTGAGAGTTGAAGTCCAGAATATCTGGAGAGCACCAAGTTAAGGAAAGCTGATCTGAATCAGAATTGTCCATGTGGACTGGAATCAGCTCTGTTGTGTTTCAAAGCCACGTGTTTCTACCTGGATACTGTTGATTGAACTTAGGATCCTCTGAAGGAAAAGCATAGCTTACCAATGAGCCACAGCCTTCCCCAAATCTCAGCCTTTTAAATATCTATATAAAATGAATTGACAAAGTGATATAAATCTAGATACATGCTCCTACTACAGTTCAAGAGATTTTATTTATTTATTATTAGAATTCGAGTTTATGAATAGAATATCTAATGGTTTTTAGCTCATTTGGTAGAGTGAAATACTAATCATAAATGTAGTATTTGTTGACTCACTTAAAAGAATCACTTAAAAGATTCTTTATCCCAGGCCAGTTCTGCTATCTTTTTCATCTGGTTTAAAATGTTCATTAACTTTTATTTATTACTCTTATTAATTTCAGAGTGACTTTCATGGCATAAAACGTAAGAAGAGTAACGTATGTTAATGCAACTGGAAACATTATAGAGACACATTTAAAAATGAAAATGAATCAATGCATCTTTCTAGCTCACAAACTCAGATAGTTATGCTAGTACTTATCTGCTGTAAAATTCTGGTGCAGTTTATTCTTTGGTTCTTTTGATATTTCATCTTCATTCTATTTTTAATAACCTTTTGTTTAAAAAATTGCCTATGGGTTCAATACAAATAATCAGGATTATTGTGTTTGACCATCTTGATCATTGCAAATGAGTTGCTGTGGATTTTGACAGTGACCATATGTGACTGTTTTTCTTGATCGATATGGAACCCAGCCTGCAAGAAGTGGAAAAAGAGGCACAGAGAAACTTTTGAAATGGGTTTTTGCAGTCGATGAACAAGAGGTAATACATTAGGGAATGAGAGAGTTTATAGCTGTGAGGCTTTGTGTCTGGAACTGTGTGGAGCACATTGGGGTACAGATGCTCTGGGTACAGTGTTACCTCTGCTGTCTGCTGTAGGTGTCTCTGTTTCTAAGAGGCCCTCTGTATGCTTATAAATAAAATAAACATAATAAATGCATTGTCTGTTCCCAATGCCCTCTCATGCAAATGAAGCGGAACCCTGTGGCACTCCTACTGGAACTTTTCACCGCTTAGGAAAGTAGGGACAATGTTGTACTATTCTGTCACCAACATACCATTACAATTGGAGAATTCTGAATTCACATAAAAGGAAAAGACTGGATAGGAACTTCATAATGTTAAATGTTAGCCCAGCTGTGTAAGAACAGCTTTGGGGAAGAGGTTCTAGGAAGGACAGTAGGTCAGTGATAGAGGACATATTCTTTGCATGGAGAATGTCCTAGGTTCTATCTGTTCGTCTCCAGCCTGGACAGAAAGAACTATTTCTTAAAAGCCTGCAAAACCACTGCTAGTAGGTGTTGACAGTACTGCCCTAGAGGCAATAGTAGTTTGGCTCAGTATAATGCAACTTTCTATGATCTTATAACAACAGCATATTCAGAGCTCTGCCATGTGTGAAGATAGGGAGTTACGTTCCCTATTGGCACAGATAGACAAAATATTAAGAAGCAAAAGCTGTAACGTGTGGCCGGTTCACCATTGAAGAGCTTTGAATTCTCATGATTCACACAGTTAAACTGGCATGCTGAGAACTGTCTAGCAATTTTGTCATGATTTATTAATTGTGGATCTTTACTGGGGCTGTAAAGGCTTATCGCTAATTACTGGAATTATTGCAATAAAATGTTTTATTGAGATGTTAGAATAGTTTGGATCATGCCATTGTAAACAGTGATAA